AAAATTAATATACCCTTGCCCGCATATTTGAAAAAAAGCAATATATTGGACAACACAGTAATAAGCAAAATACCTTCTCAAATCCTCTCCTACAAACATCTGCATCAATTAGACGCCCATGCCTGACTAACTTAATCCAAGTTAGTGAAGTTTCTATAGCCAATTTAAGTAATGTCGTCTCTCATTGGACAAACTGACGATGTAAATAGTACACCAACAAGCCTATTATACAAAGAAACAGGAAAAGTTTGAAATAAGATCGAACGTGATGACGAAAATAACTTTCTCATGTTCTGTAAGTTGTTGTGATCCTCATTTGGTTTCTTACTTTCACGTTGAATCCCTACCGTGACTTTGTTGTGTTCATATTGTTTTTGCAAACATGTCTCTCATAATAGGTTTTAACAGCATTGTAAGTTATTAGCAATTACTTGTATGTAATATATTTGAAGACAACAAACAAAAACCAAAACAAAGAAAAACACAAAAAAAAAATTAAAAAAAAAAAATAAATAAATAAAAATAAGAAATAAAAGCAGAAATAAAACAAAACAAAAGCAAAACAAAAACAAACAAAAATAAGATAAACAAACAAAATAAAAACAATATGTCAGCAATATTACGCTGTATGCTTTTCAATGAAGATGAAAAAAGACAAATTATGATAGTTTTTACATTGAATTATATGCAATGTTTATATTCTAAAATAGCAATGCTGTTACTGCCCAGGTATGCGTTAATTCATTTCAGTGTTTATTTCCCTGTAATGTTTTCAATTTTCTGAGTTTGTTAATTTTGTACCTTTGAAATTCTGTATTTTGTAACAACTTTCATTCCTAATCTAACCTTTCTCTGGAATGTAATTTTGAAATGCACCCTTCTGATATATAAACAAACGCCACTGGTCGTCAGTACGTGACATATGTCACAAAGATTAAACAATTTTGATAAATAGGATACCCGGCTTTTTGATATACAGGTGGTCATCGATATCAAACCTTATAAATCATAACCTTTGTTTACTCGTGCACGTTTTGGCGACATGACCTGTCTAACGTCACACGGTGTAGTAATTGATATGATTTTGACTGATCGTTTTTGCAAGCTTTATAAAGAGTAAAAAACATTGCCAGACTGTCTTTTGGATAAGGACAGCCAGCAAACTAACAAGGAAATTGCTTCCTCTCCAATATCTCAATAAAAATTGTTTAATCAATATTTGACATGAGACACGACAGTGCACATTCCCATGTTACCAAGCATGCGTTCTATTGTAAAGCTTGATATGGATATAGATGTATACTAATAAAATGTAAAAGATGTATAAGAGGGATGTTATGAAAGCTTATTAAATATTTATGAGCTAAAACAACGAAAAAATACCCGTAAGTCAAGATATTCGTAATCCGAACTGATAACAAAACAAAAACAGAAAAAAAACAAAGAATTAGGGCAAAATATGAAAGCTAAAAAAATGTAGAAAGGAGAGTAAGATCTGGTGTTCCGGTTTTGCTTCATCGATGACAAGTTTTGGTAAAACCAAGAGAGTAACGTCGTGTTCACAAACGAGAATGAGGTGAACAAAAACAGACCTAATAAGTATACTAACTAGCACCAAACACGTCCAACTTCACAATATCACAAAAGGACAATAACCTTATGTCGACCGTTAATTTTTAACCATTGTCAACAACTTGATTCTCTCGAAACCCTTTGTTGTGAGTTTATCTGTCGGTGGCCGATATCTTGCACGAACATCGTGATATTGAGAAGTAGCCCTTAGTTATGGAATCAACTGCGACATGTGGGTATTTACACTGTTGATTTTGTCATTTGTATTGATAATATTGTATATCATGTATACATTATAATTGTTGGTTAGCCTGGACTTTTCATTTTCTTGATGTCTATAGGTATGGGATGTCTATGGGATGTCTATGGGATGTCTATAGGTATGGGATGTCTATGGGATGTCTATAGGTATGGGATGTCTATGGGATGTCTATAGGTATGGAATGTCTATGGGATGTCTATAGGTATGGGATGTCTATGGGATGTCTATAGGTATGGGATGTCTATAGGTATGGGATGTCTATGGGATGTCTATAGGTATGGGATGTCTATAGTTATGGGATGTCTATAGGTATGGGATGTCTATGGGATGTCTATAGGTATGTGATGTCTATGGGATGTCTATAGTTATGGGATGTCTATAGGTATGGGATGTCTATAGGTATGGGATGTCTATGGGATGTCTATAGGTATGGGATGTCTATAGGTATGGGATGTCTATAGGTATGTGATGTCTATAGGTATGGGATGTCTATAGGTATGGGATGTCTATAGGATGTCTATAGTTATGGGATGTCTATAGGTATGGGATGTCTATAGGTATGGGATGTCTATGGGATGTCTATAGGTATGTCTATAGGTATGGGATGTCTATGGGATGTCTATAGGTATGGGATGTCTATGGGATGTCTATAGGTATGGGATGTCTATGGGATGTCTATAGGTATATGATGTCTATGGGATGTCTATAGGTATGGAATGTCTATGGGATGTCTATAGGTATGGGATGTCTATTGGGATGTTTATAGTTATGGGATGTCTAAAGGTATGGGATGGGTATGGGATGTCTATAGTTATGGGATGTCTAAAGGTATGGGATGTACATATGTACTGAATGTTTCCAGTAATGTTTTGTTCATGGGTAACTTTAAATTGTTGTTTAGTTTACCTAATTCAGATGTGTATCATCAGGTAAGGCACTTAGCGTTATTGATAAACCTCCTCACGAATGTTGTCGATGTTCTGATTATTTCAAACATTGAAAATAACAATAATAGCAGACCAAAACCCTTAATAGTTTTCAGAATACAGAACTATGTGACATGGTACGTAAGTGTTGGTTTATAAAGTGGCATATCTTCAACATTTTATCATATTCAGATAAAGTTCTTTAATGTTACATAGTTAAGAGTTTAAACTTAAGCGATTAAACATAAAAGGTCCTCATATATAATGTCGGAAACATTCCCCCAATGATGTCACGTATTATGCTGAAGTGATACCATATTTTTCATATTGAATACTTAGGAATATTCGTTCCGCATGTCAAAAGAGACATCCGCATGTCACATATTGTTACTAGTCTACCGTCCATTTATTTTGAATTTACTGACAAGATCTTGTAAAAAGAAAGTGTAACGTTGCTTGTATCCATGATGTCTGAAGGTAAGACTCTCACACTGGCATAACAAAGCAAATGTATTCAGTATATGTTTATCAGTTTACATCAAATAGAAAAAAATGTACAGAAATAATTCAGAGCCTTTGGGTATGGTTTTAATGGTAGTTTAGCACATACAGAATAATATCTTAACACGGATATTTCGTCCTTACAGAACTCTTAAGTAATGACAGGGGTCAACATAGAAGTCTGGAACGAAAATTAGAAACTCGAATGTGACTGAACAAAAGGAAAATACAGAAATTTATATGACCAATGTTTAAACATCTTTTAATTTAACAATTTTTGTATACCAGTAACGCTTGCTAAACGTGTATAGACTGGACTGTCCTATGAAGAAGTAATGTGCCGTGTCATAGTTATAAGCTCTGCTTCCTAAGAGCCTAGATCACCCAGTTTTGTTTTGGAACCCATGTCAGTATCACACAAACATCGACTATCATATAAAGTAATATTTGATGAGATGTCATTTCAGTATCACACACACATCGACTGTCACATAAAGTAATATTTGATGAGATGTCATTTCAGTATCACACACACATCGACTGTCACATAAAGTAGTATTTGATGAGATGTCATTTCAGTATCACACACACATCGACTGTCACATAAAGTAATATTTGATGAGATGTCATTTCAGTATCACACACACATCGACTGTCACATAAAGTAATATTTGATGAGATTTCATTTCAGTATCACACACACATCGACTGTCACATAAAGTAATATTTGATGAGATTTCATTACAGTATCACACAAACATCGACTGTCACATAAAGTAATATTTGATGAGATTTCATTACAGTATCACACAAACATCGACTGTCACATAAAGTAATATTTGATGAGATTTCATTACAGTATCACACAAACATCGACTGTCACATAAAGTAATATTTGACGAGATTTCATTACAGTATCACACAAACATCGACTGTCACATAAAGTAATATTTGATGAGATTTCATTACAGTATCACACAAACATCGACTGCCACATATAGTAATATTTGATGAGATGTCATTTCAGTATCACACAAACATCGACTGCCACATAAAGTAATATTTGATGAGATTTCATTACAGTATCACACAAACATCGACTGCCACATATAGTAATATTTGATGAGATGTCATTTCAGTATCACACAAACATCGACTGCCACATAAAGTAATATTTGATGGCGATGTTTGCTTTGCTTACTTTGGCAATGTTATAGCTAATTTGCAACAAAAATATTTTCTGTGGTCATCGTTTCGTTGATGTAATTTGTGATTTTCGATACTGTTAATTTTTTTTAGAAATGCATATCTGATAATTAAGTACACAAAACATATGTTATTTCTTCTCATCAGATATTACGAATTTGTTACTTTAATAAATGCAATATTCGACAACATAAGATAACATATGCTAATACAAATAGTGTGCATCATACAATATATTCTGGCGCTAATCATTTATCACAGGCTCGAAATAAGGATGACTAGACCTGTGAGCGCAAACCCAACCCTTCCACGAGTATTTGCCATCTTATCTAGACCAATAAACAATTATTTGTTTAACACTGTATTGAGATAAAAAGCCACTCCTCCTAATATTGATAATCCTCACATATCTCAAATTTCATGTTTGTTTTCTATAAACATATCTTATACCTGTCTATGTTACGTGTGGGAATGTGTGACAAGTTCCCTGTGTGTTAATAGATTGGGGTGTTGATATAACAATATGCCCTTAAATGATTGTGTCGGGAGGGAGGATCTTGGGAGGAGGTCGCAAAGGTCTAGCCTGCACCTTCTCTGCTCTGGCATTAAAAGGGGTTAATTTACTAACAGCGCCCATAACACAGAATGAAACTGACACATTCCACATCGGTAAAACAAGTATCGGACCAAGTTTATCGGTATCAAAACAACGCTTAAAAGTGTAAAGTAACACATTAAAACCACTGGCTATCACCAGTCCGGACGTACAGAGATCTATTGCAATATGAAGGTACTTTGCATTCTTTTCGCAATATTGGTGGCAGTGGATGGCCATGGACGATTGTGGGAACCACCTTCACGTTCCACAATGTTCCGACGTGGGTACAACACCCCACCAAACTACAACGACAATCAACTTAATTGTGGTGGCTTTGCGGTAAGATATAAATTAAGGTTGTTTTCTTCTTTTCTTAATGTAGTAACCTGTGGCGACTCTGTGGTAAGGTATTTGTGTGGTTGATTTTTTGTTTGTTTTTGTCTTTTGTTGTTGTTGTTGTTGCTGTTAGTGTTACGAATTGCTTTTAGTTAGTTGAAGTAACATTCTTATATAATTTGCACTCATTTCTTGTAGAACGTATCTATTTTCATTCTTTAAAAAATGGTGAATGAAAAACAACATCCATATAGAGATTAAACGAAATATATCATATTGACTCACAAATCAATGTTAGCTTGTTTTCATTGCCCTTACTTCGAGGAGTTACCTATACAGGTACTTTTTAATCCAAGGTTTTAGGAAATCCCGATGTAGGGTACGGAATTTTTGAGCATCTTAAGTAAATCTATCTACATGTCCATGTTTATAGACTCGTCCTTGCGATACACTGATCTTTGATATACAAGTACTAACGCAAACACTCTCCAATATAATTTATCTTTTGTAAACACTGCTGGAACGCTGGTGGTAAGCTGCTTTCTCTCTCTCCCTCTCTCTGATAATAACAGGCATTGCGTGTTGAGTATATTTTCCTGTCTACCGTTACCATTATAGTTATATATTTACATCCTGTAATGTGACCATATGCTGTTTGTTAAAACATTTACTCATGATAGAAATATTGAAACAATTATAGCATTTAAATCGACGTTAAGTGGTAACTCTTTAATTACTTTTTACAGCTTTAAAAACATATATGATTTTACTTACTTCTTCTCAACAGTCAAAAACTAACTTAAATTTGATTCAAATAAAAATGTCGGCCTGAAAATCTCCGTTTTATTTATTTTTGTATTTATTTTCACACATTTTTCATTTTGCAGAATATTTTATCAATATTGAAATTAAGAAAAACAATTTACTGGAGAACATCGTAAATTCATTGTGGTACTATATCAGCGTTTGACATCTTAGCGATAAACTAGTCTGTACATAGAAACTCACAGTCATTAGATTCCCCTTTACACTTTGAAGGAGGTTTTCAATACAAAGCTGATGCATAAATTAAAGTATGAAAATAAAGCAAGCAGTTGTCGATTTAACTCATTTATAATGAAGTCGTACCTCTCTTGAACATTACATTTATTCTACATTATTTTGGGAGATTCCATTGTAACTTTTCTGTTTAATTTGTGTGCTCCCTTCAGTCGTTTTGATTTCTCTTGAGTCCTATTGTCTTATTACAGCTATTCCAATTGCTTCTCCACGGTTGTTCTTGTCGTCTTACCATAATTATTTTTATCCAGACGGTTCCTTTTTTGTGTTGCTGTTTATTGTAGCGATTTGGTATTGCCATTTTATAAAGGCATGCCTACTGTAAATATTCTACACCTTACCAACGTGTATTGAGTATTTGAACCTATCTAAAGCTAATATTGATTTAATGTGAAGATAGAAAACAGATCACCTCTCCGCGCTCATCGTTCATTTGATGTTTTAGTTGTTTTTGTGTTTGTGTGTATTATATTTTCTATTTTGGTCGTGTATCGTGCTCTGATGACGCTGATGCTTTTGTAATTTTCTTTCATGTTTTGATGACAATTGTTTATGTACGGACCATATCAATTTTTGTCTAAATAAAAAGGATTAAACAAAAGACATCTTGAAAATTGAATATCAAAATATTGATGTAGAATTAGATACAAGAATGTTTCATAATTTTAACTTTCAGAAAATTCCAAAGAACAAGTACATGTGTACTCTAAATCAGAGACTATTGACAATGACAGGAGACTTTTATATTAAGGGTATATTATCCTCGACATGTGTCAAACGAATGCAAGACAACGAATAAATGAAACATGCAATGATCTGTATTTGTAAACACGATGATAACACATTTGAGAGGTTTATATTAAAACCATGCGTTAATGTGTCAATTAATCGCAATTTCTAGCGAGATAATTCTGACACAACCATGAGCAATGTAATAAAATTGAAACTAACACAAGAAATATGCATTTCATTCATACAAAAAATATATCAAACATGGTATACAGACATATTGATGACAGTTTAGATATTGTATTCAAGGACATTTGTTATAACGTCTTATCAATAAATGTGAAGTATCTCACTGGTGATGGTATAGAGGTGTGTTTCCAGTGTGTTGTATAAACAGGCGTATAAATAAACTATCAACTATCAAAGTGCACAATACATCCAAACTGGCATGTAAACAATGTCATTTGCCTCCCAGTTTGGTCCTACGTGGATTATTCTTAATGGAAGTCCCGCATCTGTGTTATATTTAGTAAGTTAATAATCTAAACACTGCAAAAAAGTAACTTTATCATCATAAATTACCGTTAGCATATGTCCTCCCATTCTATATAAGACAGCGTGGCTGCTTTGCCTGTTAAGTAATTCTAAACACTTCAATAGTCAAACGAATTTACATACAAATAATGATTTTTAAGAACATATCAATCATATTGTAATAAATTGGTATTGTGTCTCCCTAACCAAACCATGTATACAATGAATTTTGTTTTTTGTTTTTGTTTTTGTTTTTGTTTTTTTTTGGGGGGGGGGCGTTGAAGAGGGTAATGGGAACTATTTGTCATATACTGCTGCATTAATTGACACCGGGAGGGTACCTTGCTGATAGCTTATCCAGGTCAATGGGGTTGTCACGGATTCAGTGCTATTCTTACATACACTTACTAATTACGTGCGTGGTAGGGGGATGTCTGGTCGGGGTTCAGGGAGATAGGCGAGTACCTCTGTGGAGAACAGGCGTTGTTGTGATATTCTATAGTTTATATATTTCGATTCGTGGCATGGTGCACACTTTAATATGCAATATATTTTCGTTTGAAATTTTCCATTGAAAAGAAGGCACTAGCACCTTCTCTAGTATTTGTCATTTATTTCAACCAATGTCGATTTTCCCAGTGGCCTTATTTGTATGCATATCAACAATGTCGACTTTCGGCTTCACTACCGAACCCTAGAAGGACGAAACAGCTGTGTGATCCAGTTGTGTTTTCATTATTTAGTCCTACTGTATTTAACGCATGCTATTCATCTGTCTAGCATGCTGTTATACAAAAAATGTAAACAAGTGATTTAACTTGCCTTATATTCTTTTATTTACGTTTGCTATTAAAGACTCTTACCAAGAAGAAAGACATTCATAGTTCCGCAAATGCCATCTTTCCCACGACTATCATGACGTTGTTGTTGTGATCATAGAAAAGAGTACGATAGGCGGTCAAACAAATGGGTGTGCCATCAGACGCAGCACGCTGTCGGTATTGAATAACATTTTTTAGTTTAAATTGAATAAGTTTTTGCTATTAACACTGATCTTCAAGCTAATATACAATAATAGAACTTATTATTTACGTAAACATATGATAATTCATATTAATTTTCAACAACAATTGCATGGTAACTGTTTTGTCATATATTAGATTAATTTCCAATAGCGACCATTGGGCTCTATGTCAATAACGGTATAGTGATATTTTAGTGTTGCTCTTGTAGAAATGAACTCGTGCTAATCACTATCCTGAAGTAGAAGCATCTCTTTACTCAAACAGAAGATAATAATTATCATAATAATGATATTCAATAATTATATAGTGCTCTATACTAATAAAAATGTCAGCTCTAAAGCGCCTCACAAGACATGATTTAAAAACTTATCTCTACTAGAAAAATATACAAAACACATCACATATACATCTATGATAATACAAATAAGTATTGAGAAGATTAAAATAGTAGTGTAAAATAATTAAAGCACAGTTAAAACACTATTTACACTGCCAATGCACGTTTGAAGAGATGCGTATTCAGTCTGGATTTGAATACATATTTACGCAAGGTAGATCATTCCACTTCCACAACCAGGAAGTGAATATACAAATTACTGATAAAACGGTTTCATACCATGCTACTGTTCTTTTTAAACCACTGCTTGTCAATAGCTATTCAGCATAAACGAGGGACAGATTGCTAAAAATGGTATCTCACCGAAGTCCTTATTTGTAAGAGGATTTTTAGGCAAAAGAAATGAGAAAAACGCAAACAACAGAAATGAAAACGGAAAGAAAGAAAACAAGCCAACCGATGAAGAAGAATGAACTATGAAATAAGTACATTTTGGTGTTTCTGTTTAGCCTTTGTAGAATATTCATCACCACTATAATATATTGACTATTTGACCTGAATATTTGATAAACATAATGTTGATACGATACAGTACTTAACATATCTCAATATCTATGTGATATGTACTTAAGACCAGAAAAAGTATGCTATACCTTAAAGAACATCGCAATTTCCTCATAATAAGCTCGTGGAATAATTCATTTTGTTTTCGAGATGAAATCAGTTGCCTATTGCGAAATAGTCATGATCAGACAAACGTTATCATTATTATACTTGTTTTTGATGTCATACTATAATGTCGTCATTTCATTGTGATGTTCATAATAGCAAAATATCCTACATGGCTACTCTTTATTGGGCATGTGTATTCCACATACGCAGAGGCGGAAGAAAAAATAACCTTAAAGAAACGACTTCTAGAAAAGATTCTTCCTTTGCCAAGAATTAAACCCTTTTTATGAGTCTCGATGCTCGGTAACTATGATTTTGCGTGAAACACATTAACATGCTAATCCTATAATCCCGTAGCATGCCGATAAGAGTCATCACATAATTTGACTCAGCAATTTATTCTAGTCTGTCAGTCATTGGGCCTTCCGTATACACCTTAGCGTTACCAAGGCGACAATGATTTCGTCATTTGTATTTCAATGCACTGAAGTATTATTGTGTTCAATTCGCCTGCCAAAAACACTGGTGACAAATGTTGTTGTGCACAATCATAGTCACCAGTTTATCGAGATGTGTCCGTTAGATAACATAGACCATGTGTTCATCAGCATTCCATGTCGGCGGTGACGTTACTCAAACATATGAATTGAGGAAGAGATGCTCTGACTCATCATTTATTGTTAGTTTATAACACACAAAAAGAATATGTACACATAGTAATCTGAGTGCTTCCAGAACAAAATATACGTTATAGCTTTTGATTTTTTGTGTTCATTTTGATTTGTTGAATTTTACGGCAAAATTGAAGGTTTCGTACGCGACACCTTGTGACGAAGACAAAAGAGAGAATTTGATAATTCATGTTTTTATCAAACGAATCATTGTAATCATGAAAAGGAGCATATCCGCCTGTGATTGGTCAGGAATTTTTCTTCTGGAACCAATCAAATTACTTTTGCTTGTGCTTTTAATTTTGCCATGACATTTCCAGGGGATACAGAGTATGAAAGTGATTGTAGTCCCTGGACTGTGGAGGATGTAACGATTGTAACCCCTGGAGTATACTGGACTTGTTTCATACTCGTATCGATCTCATCGCAACACTGAAACTTCCTCAATTATAAGGATTTAGAGTCGTTGATCGCTCTGACACTTTCCCCCTTCTAGTATTCGATGAAATCACTCATTACTCGTATTCAATGATAATTTTCATTGAATACAATTTATGTTGACTTTTTCTATTGAGAAAAATAACTTAATGTAGAACTTTGATGAAGTAAACAAAATGAAAGATTAGCTTTATCATAACATTGCTGTATTATAGTAGATAACATCCTCCAGCGGAGGTAGATAAAGACATGAAAACGTTGAGGTGTTCCAAGATATATTTATTAACCAATACAATGAAAACAAACCAGCGCACCAATAGATACAAAGCATATAGTTCGTTGAAGAATCCACATCAAGTGACAGGGTAACCTGTGTTACCTATGCGAAGGAAATTCTAAGGAAAGCAGATATTTTATATATGGTCTAGTAAGCTTTTTACATACTTCAAAAACAAACTAGGGGAAAATATGAACAAAAGAAATATTTACACGGAGACCCCTGAAAAAGTACAAGGGGAATAAGACAAGGTGTTCTGGGAAAATAAGCATTTTCTACTTCATCTACGACATCCGCCATGTACATCTCGGTCATTTCAAGTAAGTAATGTCATGTTCTGAAATGGGAACTACATATACAACAAAGGAACCAGCAGACAAACTAACGAGCATGTTTCATATCGACCGAGGTTGTGGATATTAATTGTTCCTCAAGCATTGGATGTCAGTTTACCACCGTTATAGTTTGGTTCGTACTGTGTATATCATTTTTAAGTTTCCACACCTGTGGCAGAAAAAGTTGATCCTCCTAATTCATTGCAATGGTCTGTCTCCGGTCTAGATATTCATGCAGCCATTTGATCAAGTCAGATGCGTGTCGAATATATATTCTGTGTTTACAGTTACTCGTAATTATAAAAATGTCTCGATAACTTCTCCCATAATACAGGAATCAATTCGCTTGCATTGTAGACACAGTGGGGTTATCCGAACAAAGGAAAATGTGGCATATGTGGGGATCCGTACAACGGTGCTCGTCGAAACGAGGCTGGAGGAAAATATGCCACCGGACTGATAACCCGGAAGTATTTGGAGGGTCAGACCGTTGAACTTGACGTAGAAGTAACTGCCAATCATTTGGGCTGGTTCGAATTTCGTGTTTGCCCTAACAACAATGTGAAAAAAGCCGCAACACAGGAGTGTCTGGACCAGCACGTACTACAGTTGGCCGACGGAAGTGGAACAAAGTAAGTATATAAAACTGGATACATCCAGTTGATGGCTCTAGCTTATCCAGCTTCAGTATAAATGTGATATACCTACGTTCAAGAAAAAACTTAATAGGAAACAACTCACTGCTAATTCATCGCTTAAAAATCCTAGAGTAATCTTTCATCATAATTAATTACAATGTGTGTGTTATATTTTTCTCTTATGTATATTTGATAATCATACTGAGCATAGACCTAAAATCAATTCTCATTACAGTAATATATTAGAATGAGAATTTTTTTCAGAAATATCATTTTCAAATATTACATGATAAAAAATAACATTTCTTCAAATATTTTTTGATCGATTTCAAAATAAACCCCTTATCTCCCAGAAATTTTTAATGAAACTAAAGAAAATCTGACATTTTGCTTCAACATGAATTTTAACCCCTTTCGAGTCAACGTTTTGGTAAGCAACCAATTTTATACTTAGAAACACGAGAATACAGTCTTTTAAAATTTTTTGACAAAAATCACTACCGAACTAAAATAATTCAACTTAAGCAAAATATGATCAAAAGGAAGACTTACACAGAGACTCCAGCAAAAAGTACAAGGCGAATAAGATCAGGTGTTCCGGAAGACTAAGCGTCTTCTGTTTGATAGACGACACTCGCCGTGTAAACCTTGGTGAATATACGTAAATAATGGAACGTGTTATCAAACGAGAACAATATATATAACAACGGAACCAACAGACAAACGAACGAACATCAAACACTTCCGTTTACATATCGTATAAGGAAAAAAAATTCCCTATGAAATCATTACGACATCCCTAAAACTTACCCACGATCTTCATCAATCTGCCTCTGTTGAAACCATTTGTCTGTCACTTGTCTAAATCTTGCTGGACAGCCATGACGTTGAGAACAATTCCTTGACTAACGAATCAATTTCGACATGTAAAACGCCATAGATTGGGGCTTCAGAGATATAGCTGTCCAGAAATGAACAATTTACAATAAGGAAAATAAGAAAATTGATACAGATGGGTAAAAATGTATTAGTTTAGTATCATTAACTCCTTATGTATTGTATCTGATATACAATGTTCATTATTTGCCTTTTACAGATATTACATCACTAGCGCTGTGGGTCACTACACAATGAAATACAAACTTCCAGCTGGACTGACCTGCACACAATGTGTCCTACAGTGGAAATGGCACGTCGGTAAGGGAGGCAACTACATACTTGGCATATCTAACTTTGAAAAGTTATATCTGTAAAGACCAATACACGGAGCAAATTATAAATATATGTTATTCAATGAATAAAAATTCAATCGATAGGGCATGTTGATATTGTGGGGGATATTGCAGAACCTGTATCTGGTTGCTAAGCAAGCAAACGTAATATTATTTTCTTCTAATTATTATCATTATTCTTGTTATTCTCCTGATATAAACAGTGCTGGTTGTTATTTCAGGAAACAGTTGGGGGACGGACCCCGACGGACGAAGTGGGATTGGATATGGTCCCCAAGAGGAGTTTTATGGATGTTCCGACGTCGCAATACAGACTAGAAGTGACTCGTCTTCCGCGTTGAAACCAGTGGTCACATCAGTGCAACCTACCACTCCAAAACCCACTACTACCACTCCAAAACCCACTACTACCACTCCAAAACCCACCACCACCACCACTCCAAAACCCACTACTACCACTCCAAAACCCACTACTACCACTCCAAAACCCACTACTACTACCACTCCAAAACCCACTACTACCACTCCAAAACCCACAACTACTACCATTCCAAAACCGACATCCACAAAGCACGCAGCGGAAACTACCACTACAGAGAAAACAATTAGTAAAGGAGAGGCGATTGCCCAGAGCAGTAAGTGCACAGTAGGTGTATCGCTTGTATACTCCTCAGTCCCCGGCATGTTACACTGGTGTCGGGTGAATTGTGCTGCAGGATATTGTCCCAAGTCCCACTGCACGTGCTTGTAGCTCAGCGGTCGATTTCTTTATGTCAAGGGTGAATTACATTTCAAACTTTTACAGATCTGCATCAGTAACAAGCTCATTACATTGGGCATTTCACTTTTGATACAGTATCCATGTATTTATCACTATAAGAGTCTTTTTCTATATTAACCATTTAGGTCAGAATGCAGACGATATTTCAGTTTTACACACACACGAAGTATTTGACGAAAAAACCTGATATTATCAATGATATTTCCATCTGCCTACCAAATATAATGTCCATAATTTGTCAGACGCAATACTTGTTTGCCTAAAAAATATCAATACTTATTAAAATACTTATCAATGTACGTAGATGGTCGTTAAATCTTATCTTCAGATTAAAAACATATATGCATTGCTTATGACGTATTAATAAATGGTTAACATATATAAAATCTCTGTCATAGCCTAATAGTCTGGTGCCAATTGTAACTACAACAAATGTTGTTACGAAGGGAAGGATTTGCCGAGAAAATCACAGGATTTGAAAATTATCTTCATTAACCTGTAAGATCATTACACCCTCCATATCTTACATTATGGAAAAAAACATTGAACATTTGTTTGTTTACAATTACTGAGTTATATGTACGCAAATTCAACAAAAGATGTAAGAAACAATGCGCAGTGTTATATAGAGAATACAGGTCAACGTCTTAAAATATAAGTTTATTTTGGCGAGACTGAAGAAAGACAAAAGTGGGGAGCCTCTGACTGTCTTTCTATTTTACTTGTAACATTTACTTAAACTTCCATTCAAAAGCGAAGGGCGAGCTGTCAAAAAAGTATTGTATTCTGAAATTTTGTGGTGGTGTTTGGAAATACATGTTACTGAGGCATGTGTTCAATGCAAGTCTGAAAGAAAAGAAACTACTGGTTTTATATGTAGATAAGTCTGAAGCCCGTTTGTTTGACGAACGCAATCAAAACTTCCCGGGCCATTTTCCGATTTCTTAAAGTCTTTCTGACTATGGTCGTTCACATCATGATATGCTTTATGCATCTAATTCAGCTCTATACAGATGATACGATCAATGTTGAAATCATGTGTTTCGTTTTTCGCTGGGAACACAAAAGCACATAAAATTGCATTAGGTTTTTACATATATATGAGACTCGCCGGTCGGAAAGGAGGCCGGTTTATGACTAGTTCTAGGATTAGTAGAACTTGTTATTATTGCTTATACAAACTTACCCGTGCAAATATATGAGTTTTTAGTACACAGCTGATTCATCATTTGTCAAAGAAAATCATAATACTGATAATAAAAGATAAGATACTGAAATACAAAAATAAACATATGAAATGTTTCAAAAGAAATCTGAAACTTATATCATGCTAAGGAAGAATTTATTGGAATAATCCGGAATATTAATCAAATATTCAAGGCAAATAAGTTTCGGCATGACGATGGAAACATTCAGCTATTTACTATGCAAATACTGGGACCTATACAATTTATGTTTATACACACAATAAAAACATTAATGCACTGGTTTGATAATAGGTTTTGGGAAGAGTTTTTTAACAACAGATAGAGTTCAGAAGTCTCAGAACTGAGTGCGTGTTTCCACTGCTTAACTGCGATTGTGGCACACAGTGAAAACACGCACTCAGTTCTGAGACTTCAGAATTCCATCTGTTGTTACCAAACTCTTTCCAAAACCTATGTTTAAACGTGTTATGTAGCATGTCCCGAAATGCTGATACCGACAAAAAAAGATGTTCATGGGCCAAACACTTTATTAAGTTTTTATATAGCAAAAGAAAATTCAAAAGAAAATTAAGAAAATACCAACATGTTAACATATTCGCTATCCAAACCGAAATTCAATCAAACTAGGGCAAGATATGAACAAAAGCTATATTTAAACTCCTGAAAAAAGTACAAAGAAAATAAGACCAGGTGTTCCTAGGAGAGTAAGCGTCTTCTGCTTTATCTACGATACCCGCCAAGTAAACCTTAGTCAATCCAAAAAGGTAACGTCAAATTTTCAAATCAAATGCGAACAAGGTATGCAACAACGGAACTAAACAAGATTCGAATTGTTTGACCAGGAGCTTAAAAAACAGTTGCCAAAATAGAAGATATGAGGTGGCTTGCTAAACCAAACTCTGTATGATTAAACATTTTTATTTCGCTGAAACATTTGACATACACCATGCATTCTTTTCATTGAAAAAGTGTGTTTCGTTCAAAGCAATTGTATCGTTCATGATATGGCAGTAATCGATTGTGTGCGTAAACTGAATATCCTAGTCGCACAAATCGTAGTTTTCTTGCAGAATATTCTAAAGTGTAATAAGAGTTATGTTGAAACAGGCTATGTGAAAGCTGTGGACGTGCGTTACATGTGTGTACATGTACACTTGATTCCCCATAGTGTCATTTAATGGTGTTTCTGATCAGTACATTTTGAAATATCATTACTTTATTAAATAACTTTTTCCAGATGGTGTATTCCATTCGTGGCATTTAATAGCGACGTGTGGTCAGCTCATTACAAAATAATTTGTATATCAGTTAGCGATATTATCTATGTTTGACTTTTGAGAAACTGTTTGTTTTAAATGGTACGAGATAGTCAGTTTTGTAGGCAAGGGCTAGTCACCAATGCGTACGAGTTGACAATAACTAGTTTACCCTAAGAATGCGTCCAAATATGACATGAAGAATTTAGTGTTTGTTTAGATTGTGCGAGGTCTCTGAATGCAGGAACTATAATCGCTATCTGTAACCACATACACAAACAAACAATAATAAAGCTTACCTACAAAGATAGTTGTTTTGACAAGACAACACAAACACAGCCCAAAACAGCGATTTTGTGACGCCATGCCGCTCGTTTTCGCTTTTTTTTTCTCTCCTTTTTTATACAGAAAAAGTTTTGCTAAGGGATATAATTACAAGTTGGGACATGAAACCGGTCTATTACACATTATAAAATACTTTCTGTCTGTTTGAAAACAATACAGACAAAAGTATAAACATCAATTCAAAACGGTTCCCAAAAAGTTGATAGGGAAAGATATTTTGTTTCGATTATGCGACTTCGGGTGGACGACATCAAGAAAATACCAACATGTCAACATAATAGCAATCCATACTCAAATTCCATGAAGCCAGGGTAATGTATAAAAAAGCAAGAATTTTATGAAGTGTCATGAAAAAATACAACGATATTAAGAGCAGGTGTTACGGAAGAGTACGCGCCTTCTGCTTTATCGACGACACCCGCCATGCAAATCCTGATCAATCAAAGTGAGTAATGTCACGTTCTCAAATGAGAATCAACAAGTAAACTAACGAGCATCAAACACGTCAAGCTTCATGTCACACAAAGAAATAAAATATTTCTAAATGAGATCACTATGGCGACCATAAATCTTCCTCACAAGCTTTCCTCAACCTGCATCTTTTAAAACCCTGCGTTACGAGTTTGTCCTTCAGGGGACGACTTGCTGCACAACAATTGTGATAATAACAGGCCGTTGAATATCGAATCATATGTGATATGCAAAAACCCCAGATGGAGATGCAGGAGTAAGGCTATCCAGAAAAGGAAAATTCATAATAGAGAAATTGAAATCATCATACAACTGGGAAGAAAATCCAGGAAGTAATAGTAGTCAGTATTACCAATGTGGATAACCCTTCGAAATTTTGACATAACTACATTCTACTTTGTTTATAGTCACCTTCACTTGAACATTCAAACAATCTCGCCATTTTCCGTTATAGTATTTCCGATTATAGGCCCTTCCTTAACGCTGGTTCCGGTCAACTTTATTTCGTTGTTATAAACATCGGCAACCTGGTACAGTGAGAGAAAGGTATTGACAAAAATAGGTATGATAAGAGAAAACATGAAAACTCCAGAAAGAGCACAAATGGTGCCGATAATTTTACCGACGGCTGTCTTGGGAATCATGTCACCGTAACCAACAGTTGTCATAGTAATCACACTCCACCACCAGGTTTCGGGAATACTTGGGAAATCCTTTCGCCTTTCAACAACATACATCACATTTGAGAAAAAGAGGACACCAATTAGAACATAAAGGAACATTATGAACATATCTTTCTTTCCTACCTGTAGTGTGTAACACAGAACACGATAGGCAGTCACGTTCTCCAGGAGACGCAAAAGACGAAGGACTCTCAGCATTTGAATGTACAGAAGGATATCAATGTCACCGTGGTAATCGTCGGAAAGGATCAGGTATAACAGACCCCGTGTGTACACGGCAGCCAACACTATCATTTCTATGATATTCTGGAAGCAAAAAATATTCCGCAATGTACACGGAAAACTTAAAAGTCGTAGAAGTAGTTCCACGGTGAAGAATGCATTTGAGGCGTACTCTATGTAGATGTATACTAACTTTTCGGTGTTGGTTGCTGTTGACAATGTCAACACTTTGGTCTGCGCAGCTTCCGGTATGATATTATCGAACGCTTTTGCAAACATTCGGCGGACAGGAGATCCTCTTGATATGTTGAAAAACCTATCAAAAGTGGTCTCGTTCCATATGTACCATTTTTCATTCGGAGAATGATTGTCTTTGAATTCTTCCCATTCAGAAAAGGAGATATTTTGTCGGGGGAGTGGTGTTGGAACAACCTTCCGCTGACCAGAGCTTAGGCCTGTTGTTGTATCAATAGGAAGCATGGTTGACTGAATTGTGGTAACATTTGCCTCATCCAATGCCGTATCTTTAGACGGTGTCTCGGGCAGTGTGCCGAGGGCTGTGGCGATTACAGACAAAATAATGACAGCGACAGCTATGACGAAATATACCTGTAAATATGAAACAATTTTTAAAATGAGCATCATCGTTCTACATCTCATAATTTGCAAACTATTTTAAAGCTATTTTGTTTCGGTAATGTATTCAAAATATATCAAAGTTATCATAAGATGTTGATGTTTAGGCCATTCCTATAATTTTTCCGTTGTGATTAACATAATTTGTA